ATGTACTGCCTTTTGAATGGATGCCAAAATGTGCTAAGTCCTGATACCTGAAAAATGGGCAGTGAGTGTCTGGAAACCTCTCCAACTCCCAGAGGGATAGCAGATTTTACTACAAGAGTTTCTCAGGTTCCATAGTTACTCTAGGGCTGTTCTGCTGGGGACACGCATTGTTTTATTTTTTTTAAAAAAATAAGTTCTGTGATTTTCTATCAAGACTTTTGTGTTTCTGTTGATAACTTCCAGAGTAATTATTCATATTCTCCAATAGACAGACTGTTTGCTCAGTGGGACAGGATTTGTTGATCTGCTGTTACAACTCAATCCCAGTACATTTTGTGGTGGCGATTTTCCGAAGCATTCTTCAGGTTGTGCTATCGTATTGCACGAATCCATTTATCAGCCCACATTTCAGGGCTAACTACTGCTGTGTCATCATTACATACCTGTTTGCAGGATCTGTGGGAGACAGGGTGGCACGTCCCCCAATTATACCTCCAGTCATTTTGTCAGTTGGTTGTTACTGAGCACGTTCATTTCTTTCCTTCCTTCCTTCCTTCCTTCCTTCCTTCCTTCCTTCCTTCCTTCCTTCCTTCCTTCCTTCCTTCCTTCCTTCCTTCCTCCCTCCCTCCCTCCCTCTCTCTCTCTCTTTCTTGCTTTCTTGCTTTCTCGCTTTCTCTCTTTCTCTCTTTCTCTCTTTCTTTCTTTCTTACATGGAGTTTTGCTCTTGTCGCCCAGTCTGGAGTGCAATGGTGCAATCTCGGTCACTGCAACCTCCGCCTGCCGGGTTCAAGTGATTCTCCTGTAACTGGGATTACAGGTGCCCACCACCACACCCAGCTAATCTTTTGTATTTTCAGTAGAGACGGGGTCTTGCCATGTTGTGTGGGCTGGTCTCAAACTCCTGACCTCAGGTGATCCGCCTGCCTCAGCCTCCCAAAGTGCTGGGATTACAGGTGTGAGCCAACGCACCCGGCCATTTCTTATGTGCCTGTCACAATGTTTAGTGGTGAATGCATGATCCTGAATCCCCTAAGCAACTGTGTAGTCCTGATCAAACATTGTACTTTATTTCAGTCACAAGCTAGACCTTGCTTTATCTGTGTGATTTTACCTAAGCTGCTTTAATAGGTACCTGAAGGTTTTTTTAGTTGTCTCATTTACATTTGCTCCATGGGCTTTTTTTCCCCCTGTAGTTTTTCCAACAGATTTGGCTGTTCAGTTTTCCGGTTTTAATGTGAAACTGCTATAATTTTCACAGACCAATGAGGTTGCTATGATACTCCCCGAAGGCTTGCCTCATTTTGCATCAGGGGGCTGCATCTGTTGTCAATGTGAATTACTTCCTTTCCACCTGAGGAACAGGAAGGCTTTTAATCGGGGTATTTCCATAGATAGTTACTCATTAACACTTCGATCCTGTATACAAGATTGGCTTTCAGACCATTTTATAATACCATTAACATGTTAGAATACAGAGAATAAACGGCAATATTGCCTAAATCTCATTGCCTGTGTTGAGGCAACTTCTTAATTTTTTTCTCCATGGGAATTTTATATACATATATATATATATATATATATATATTTTTTTTTTTTTTTTGAGATGGAGTCTTGCTCTGTCACCCAGGCTGGAGTGCAGTGGTGTGATCTCGGCTCACTGCAACCTCCACCACCTGGATTCAAGCAATTCTCCTTCCTCAGCTTCCTGAGTAGCTGGGACTACAGGCACGCACCATCATGCCCGGCTAATTTTTGTATTTTCAGTACAGACGGGGTTTCACCACGTTGGCCAGGCTGGTCTCGAACTCCTGACCTCAGGTGATCCACCTGCCTCGGCCTCCCAAAGTGCTGGGATTACAGGCGTGAACCACCACACCTGGCCAAGTTTTCTATCATCTAAAAATGAGAGATTCTCTTTAGGGTGGGGACATGGTGGGGGACATGTTAGATTGGGAGAGGGAAGTTTGAAAAAAGATTTTTCTGCATTATACTATAATTTAGTAATTATAAAATTGTTTTTTAAAAAAAGAACTTATTACTTTCAGAGTGCAAATCAGAGAGAGTCAAACATCTGCGAGGGGAGAGATGTAGATTCAGTATCAGTTATTCTCGGGGGGAGGGAGGAGCCTACGGTCTTTATCACAGTTGTTCTTTCACAATTTGGTTCAGTTTACATTTCTTTTTGACAGTCCATCTGTGCCAGGGAGCATGGGGACCTGGCTGACCTGTCAGGTATACCTAATGCGTTTGGAAGCCAACAGTCTTCTGGTAGACCCAAGGAGACAAGGGAGCCAGCCTGACTTTGCAAAATCCAGCCTCTCCCCACATATGCCCTGTCTTTAAAGCAGGAGAAGCCTCTCAGAGAATGAGTACCTAGTCTCTTGGCTGTCGAAGGCAGAGGCAATCTGATTCAGGGAGGAGGATATAGCACAGTGAGACTGGGGAAAAGAAAAAAATACCCAAAAAACAAAAAGCCTGAATACAGAAAGGATTCCTTTGGAGAGGAGGGCCTGGCGGGGAACTGCAACCTTATCCCCTGAGACTGCGGCTCAGAAACTCAGCCTGGAGGTTCAGTGAACCCGTTAGTAACATGAACTTGGTCACTGTATTTCTCAGCCCGAGCTCATGCATTATTTACCTGGCGTAAGTAAACCTGCTTCTCCCACGGTTGCTGGGGAAACCACTTTGATTTATTGAGTTCTGTTCTACTCTCCAGTGAAAAATGTTGCAGGGTGGAAAGAAGGAAGTGGGGCACTACTGGGTCTCAGGGGCTCAGGATGTGGAGCAGTAAAGGGAGTCCCCACTTTTCCCTGGGAAGGGACCGACTAGGAAAGAATGCAGATTCCAGTGCTGGGAGCTCCAAGGTTGCCATTTCCTGCTTCTCTGAGTATCCCTTTTCTCTATAATACATCCTCCAGGAAGAGAGGGGAACAGGGAGCTAGGGAGAAAGGTGTCCCTTTCCCGAGGCCCCGGTGAAGGCCACTTGCAGCTCTCCCTCTGACTGCTTGCAGAGATAGCATCAGTTTGTGCAGGGCAGGGAAGGGAAGGAGTCAAGTTTCCCCAGAGGCTGTTTCCCAGGTGGATCAGCCTGGGAAAGCCAACTCCATAACACAGGTAAAGTGGTCCTATCTGCTCCCAAGCTTGCTGCAGCTCATATCTGGGGAGTTGCCTCATTGACCAGGCAGCTATTGTAGCTTAGAAAGGGCTTGGGACCCTGGGCTCAAATCTCAGTGCTTTTATTTATAATTTGAACAAGCTGTATAATCCTTCTGACTCTCAATCCCCCAATGTGTGGAAGACGGATAGCAGTGTCTGCCTTGGAGTGTTTTTGCGAAGACTTCTCAGTGAGTGGTCTATGGAACACGTCCATGCCCAGGCATTACAATGTGGGGTGAAGGGTTGCTTGCTTAGACCACCTGTTTCCTTTTCTTGCCAGCAAGATTCAGACATTGTGCCGGGCTCCCTTCCTCCTCTTTACTGCGTATTGATTTTTCCTTTCCTCCCTTTGTTCTATTTGTGGCTCCTCTGGCCCCGCACAATTGCATTATTTCTTCAGAGGCACATTGTATGAGGAAGTCTGTTCATGCCCAGCAGCATCCTGGGCCTTCCTCCATGCCCAGCCGGCCTGGGCTGCTGTCCTCCTGGTCTGTGACCTTGTTGCATTTCCTTCTATAAAATGGCACTGTGTGGAGCCTTTTCCATTCCTTTCAGATTCTTTGCTTTTACTGGAAGGAAGCTGCTGCCTGTCAGGTGAGTGTGGTGATGTCCGCCAGGGTAACACAGACCGAGACATGTCAGCAAGATGCTTGCAATGACCCATGCATTTACAAATTCTTTAGGCAATAGCCATAAATTGGTGAAGTTTCAATTTTCTTTCTTTTTTTTTTTTTTTTTTTTTTCCTGAGACGGAGTCTCACACTATTGCCCAGGCTGGAGTGCAGTGGCACGATCGCGGCTCACTGCAACCTCCGCCTCCCAGGTTCAAGCGATTCTTCTTCCTCAGCCTCCTTAGTAGCTGGGATTACAGGCAGCCACCACCTCGGCCTCCAAAAGTGCTGGTATTACAGGTGTGAACCACCACGCCTGGCCTCAATTTTCATTTGTAAACCACAATGACATGTTAAAAAAAAAAAAAAAAAAAAAACTTTCCTAGATATCACTAACATAACTGTTTTTAGCAGCAACTTTCTAGATTTTCTTTGTGTCTCCTGGGGTTATTTTGTTATATACGGGCTTATGTTTAAGTCTGTACTTAGCTACTATTGAGATTAGAATATAACTGTTAATTACGTCTTTGACATTTCTGCCTTGATATTAGGTGCTAAATATCCCCAAATGACTTAGTTTCTCTCTACTTAAGCCAGTTCACCTGCTCCAGGCCTCTGTGCATTGTTTTCTCTGAAATGTCCATATGGCCAGAAAACCTATGTGTGTTACTGCGCTGCCTCCAGATCTTCCGACTTCATCTAGAACTGTTCCCATTGGGGCGGATGTTTCAAACTGGCTTTTTTTTTTTTTTTTTTGAGACGGAGTCTCGTTCTGTCGCCCAGGCTGGAGTGCAGTGGCCAGATCTCAGCTCACTGCAAGCTCCGCCTCCCAGGTTTACGCCATTCTCCTGCCTCAGCCTCCCCAGTAGCTGGAACTACAGGCGCCCGCCACCTCTCTCGGCTAGTTTTTTGTATTTTTTTTAGTAGAGACGGGGTTTCACCGTATTAGCCAGGATGGTCTCGATCTCCCGACCTCGTGATCCGCCCATCTCGGCCTCCCAAAGTGCTGGGATTACAGGCTTGAGCCACCGCGCCCGGCCTCAAACTGGCTTCTTAAAGAGACTTCTGATTTCTTCCAAACTAAATGATAAATCAACAAAGAAAACCCAGGCCATCTCACAAATGTTTTTTGGCAGCAGCCACTCTTTAGAGAGGAATAAGAAGGAATTCTTCCATGAGGGAGGGGCCAGGCAAAAGAAGAGCAGACCTAAAAATGTTCTCGGCCAGTGGTTCTTAAACTTCAGCACACATCAGAATCACCTGTGCCCCGGAAAGCATGGCTTGCTTGGCCCACCCCAGGGTTTCTGATTCAGGAGGTCTGGGCGGGGCTGGAGAATGTGCATTTCCAATCAGTTCCCCGGAGATTGTGATGCTTTCTCTGCAGGAGCCACAGTTCAAGCAGAGAGGACTGCAGAGGCTTGAGACAGGAAAGAGTTTGATAGGTTCCAGGACAAGAAAGGAGTCCGGTGTGGCTGGAGGGTAATGACTGAGGGGCTGGAGAGGGAGGCAGGTATCACAACATGCAGTGGAGACACAGACACAGGCACACACACACACACACACACACACACACACGATGTTTGAAGTGGGGTGTGCGTGCGGGGTTAATGACCTGATTTGCCTTTGCAATTGTTATTTCATTTGATTCTCTTCGCAGTCACCATGCTGTGAACTCGGTGCCTTTGATCTCTGTAAACCACCCCACCCCGCACCTTCCACAGAGTAGATGCTGGCTAAATTGTATTATGTGCCAGATGCTGTCCTAAGCTCTTTATAAACATGATCTCATTTAATCCTCCTAATGACCCTGTGAAGCAGGAACTGTTATAATCCCATTTTACAGATGAGGAACACTGAGGCATCAGAGAGGTTACATAACTTGCCTGGGGTCACATAACTAGGAAATAACAGCCTGGCTGGTAAGCTCCAGCTGAGCCCTCAGCCTCCACCCTGCGCTGCCTCTGCTGCCCCACGATGCTGCCCTTTTACATGAGTGACCAACCTTGAAAGGCAGTCAGGTCAGACATGATGATCACCATCATTTAAAGATGGGGAAACTGGCCGGGCGTGGTGGTTCACGCCTGTAATCCCAGCACTTTGGGAGACCAAGGTGGGTGGATCACAAGGTCAGGAGATCGAGACCATCCTGGCTAACACAGTGAAACCCCGTCTCTACTAGAAATACAAAAAATTAGCCGGGCGTGCTGGCAGGTACCTATAGTCCCAGCTACTTGGGAGGCTGAGGCAGGAGAATGACGTGAACCCGGGAGGCAGAGCTTGTAGAGAGCCGAGATCGCACCACTGCACTCCAGCCTGGGTGACAGAGCGAGACTTCGTCTCAAAAAAAAAAAGATGGGGAAACTGAGGCTCAGACAGGCACCTGGTCATAGGTAGAGGAAGGGTATGACCCAGATCTCCTGAGGCCAGATCTCAAGGTCTTGTCCCAAAACTGGGCTGCCACAAACCTGGAGTCTCCAGTGTGCCTGGTGCTGAACCAGGCAGACAAAGAAGTTAACTGAGAAAGAAAAGGCCCCCGCCTGGCAGGTGTGAGGGCGAGGCTGGTACCCTGCAGCGATGGGACTGATAGCTTTGTTCTCGGGCTGGGCGCCCTGTCCGCAGCCTCCTCCTTACCTGGGCTGGGGCAGCAGCTGGGCTCCTGTGCCTGGAGGTGCCAACAGGGCCGGTCATTCACAAAGCCACCGTTGGTTTTGTAGCCATAAAGAAAGATACAGCCCTTCCCTCGGGGAGCGAAAGCTGATACCGTAAACACTGTGGGCTCTATCTTTGATCTGGTGGGTCATAGGAATGGCTTTTCTCCCCAGGTAGGGTTACCAGGAGAGGACTGGGCAGACCTTTGGGAAGCTGTGCCCTGCTGAACAGATGGTGCAGGGTGGGAGGGCAGGTCTGAGAGGGGAGCCAAACAATTACCCCCAGGTCTGGAACCCAGACACCAAATTTCAGGCCTTGGGGAAATTCTCAGTTTTAAAATAAATCCCTGGGGCTGCTTGTAACTTTTAGTCTTTGGCTTTAAAAATAGTTATTTTCTAGATAAAGGAAAATAATAACTTGCAAACTTGAAAAAGCCACAAACCCCTTTATGGCCGGGTGCTGTGGCTCATGCTTGTAATCCCAGCACTTTGGGAGGCCAGGGTGGGCAGATCCCTTGAGGTCAGGAGCTCGAGACTAGCCTGCTCAACATCGTGAAACCCCATCTCTGCTAAAAATACAAAAATTAGCCTGGCATGGTGGCAGGCGCCTGTAATCCCAGCTACCTGAGAGGCTGAGGCAGGAGAATTGCTTGAACCCAGGAGGCAAAGGTTGCAGTGAGCTGAGATTGCACCACCGCACTCCAGTCTGGGTGGCAGCAAGACTCCATTAAAACAAAACAAAACAGCCACAAACACCTTTAAACTACATGTTGGTAAAGGCTAGTGTCAGGCCCGGAAGAGACCTAGGGGTGGGATGGTGGATGGAGGGCCCGGGTCTGAAATGCTTTTGTCTCTTCCTATGAGCTGATTTTGATTTGGGGTCATTTCCCTGGTATTGCGTTGAGTCATAGCTCTGTTCAAGAAGATGGTTATTTTCAAACTAACTTTAAAAATTGAGAGTGGCTTCTCTTATTCTGCTTCCTCTATCTATGATGCTCTTGTTTTTCAGCTCTGTGAACTCCTAGTTATCCCTCAAGACCCTATTCAAACATCACCTTCAAAACTGCCATATCCTACCCCCTTTCAACCCTAGAAAATCATGAATACATCCAATTATCCCTTCGTTATGCTCCATCTAAAAGTGCCTGTTCACAACTTCACATAACATGGGAGTTCACCATCAAGGTCGTTTTTTCTGGCCAGATGACCCACAGAACTCGATAAAAGACTTTTTTACATATCATTTTATCCCCAATACCCAGCACATTGCCTGATACTTAACAAATGACCTTGACTGGGCGCAGTGGCTCATGCCTGTAATCCCAGCACTTTGGGAGGCTGAGGTGGGCGAATTACCTGAGGTCGGGAGTTCAAGACCAGCCTGACCAACATGGAGAACCCTGTCTCCACTAAAAATACAAAATTAGCCAGGTGTGGTGGCACATGCCTGTAATCTCAGCTACTCGGGAGGCTGAGACAGGAGAATCGCTTGAACCCGGGAGGCAGAGGTTGTGGTGAGCTGAGATAGCACCATTGCACTCCAGCCTGGGCAACAAGAGTGAAACTCCATCTCGAAAAAAAAAAAAAATGGCCTTGAATGAATGTTGTTGAATGAATGTTATTTGCTCTGCATCATAAGTAAAGAGAAAGAAATATTTATAAGCATCTATCACAGACCAAGTACTGTGTAGCCGTCATCTATATGTTATTTAATTTCATCTCTATTAGAAGAGCTTTCATTTGTTTAAATCTAGACTACACGGGCAGTGATATCTTAACACAGTTAAGATACCTGGGAGGCTGGGCACAGTGGCTCATACCTGTAATCCCAGCATTTTGGGAGGCCGAGGCAGGTGGATCACCTGAGGTCAGGAGTTTGAGACCAGTCTGGCCAACGTGGCCAAACTCTGTCTCTACTAAAAATAGAAACATTAGCCAGGTGTGGTGGCGGGTGCTTGTAGTCCCAGCTACTTGGGAGGCTGTGGGGGGAGGGTTGCTTGAACCCAGGATGCGGAGGTTGCAGTGAGCTGAGATCGCACCACTGTACTCCAGCCTCTGTCTCTAAATAAATAAATACATACATACATAAATAAAAGATACCTGGGAAAACAGTTGATGAATACCTGTAAGGTGCTACAGGGCTGTAGGAAATGCAAAGAAGGACAATGTCTGTCTTCTGGGAGTTTCAGATATTATTGAGAACACATATATGTACACATGCACACATCCCACACATATATACCTTACTCACTCAAAGAAAGATTATTGAACTTGTAAAACACACTGATTTCTAAATGCCTGCTACAGACCTAAATGTGATAGAAATGGGAAGAATGAGAGATCACTGTGGGCTCCAGTGTTTTTGAAGAAACCTCAGATGTGAGTCTCTCCCAGTGGCCTATATTCTCATATGCCTAGAGACTGGGAACAGATGAGATGATCTCCAGCAGTCTGCTGGCTGGAGAATGGAGAATTGTTTATAACGATACCTTATATTAATGACTTTTCAAAAAGTGCTGTAACATCCATGATCTTATTTTTATCTCCAAAGTCATACAGCTGATAATGAAGCAGAGCCTGGGGTTGGATTCTCTCTCTGTCAATTACTAGTGGGGCTTCTGTCTGCCCATATGGCATCTCTGTGCAAATTGGAAAACAATGCCCCTTGCTCAGGTAAAATTGTGTTAAATTTAGTATATTACCGCATAGCTTGAACAACTGTGGTGGCAGCCTTATCCTGGTTGTGCTTTCCGGAACATCTGCACTGCAATCTTCCTGGCTGAGGGCATACATGTGCCACACTCTCATCGCTTATGCTCCCTGCCCACCCCTGCCCTCCAATGCCAGGGCATGTCTGTCTCTGGCAGCTTGTACCTTTGCCTTAACCCGAATTCCTCCATTAAGTAAAGGGATTATACCAGGTTCAAAGTGGGGAAGGGTAAGGAATTAGGCCCCCTGAAGTGTGTCTGGGAGAGGCACAGTGGTGCATATGAGAGTGTCAGCAATGTACTTGCAGCTGTTCTGAGTGTGTGTGTGATCCATTGTATGGTGTGGGTTTTAAGTAGGAGAGGACTCTCCCCTGCAGCTTCAGAACTTTGGCTGGTGTCTCCACACATCCCTTCATTCCCTGACATGTACGATGTGAATACTACACATACCTCCCACCCCAGATCCTTTATACAGTGCTGAACCTGAGCAACTGTATATAGTGATCCTTGGATTGGAAGGTCATTAATTTATTATTTATTTATTTACTTATATTTATTTATTAAATAAAGTAAGTTTCAGTGTAACAGTGAGATATTTGTTTATTTTTGAGACAGGGTCTCACTCTGGTTGCCCAGGCTGGAGTGCAGTGGTGCAATCAGGGCCTCCACCTCCTGGGTTCAGGTGATCCTCCCACCTCAGCCTCCTGAGTAGCTGGGACTATAGGCCACCATACCTGGCTAATTTTTGTATTTTTAGTAGACTCTGGGTTTCGTCATGTTGGCTAGGCTGGTGTCAAACTCCTGAGTTCAAGTAACCCACCCGCCTCAGCCTCCCAAAGTGCTGGGATTATAAAGGCATGAATCACTGCTCCCAGCCTGTCCTTAATTTTTTAAAATTGTGAAAATTACAAAAGTTACCTGCTCTTTTCTAACAAATTAAATTAAATAGGGATACAAAAACAAATTGAACACTCATTCTTGCTACTCTTTGCCTCTCATGCCTACTAAGTAACCAGTGCTAAGCTTGCTTGCATATTTCCACTACTTAATAGTGCATTTTTTTTCATATTTTTTTCCATATTTCCAGTACTTAATGCGTGATAAGGGAAACAGAAGCAAACATATGTATGCATATATGGGTTTTTGTTTCTTTAAACAAGTGTTTTAACAAACTTGAATCATACTATATATGTACTTTTTAATTTTTTGTTGTTGTTGTTGAGACGGAGTCTCACTCTGTCGCCCAGGCTGGAGTGCAGTGGCGTGATCTCGGCTCACCGCAAACTCTGCCTCCTGGGTTCACGCCATTCTCTTGCCTCAGCCTCCCAAATAGTTGGGACTACAGGTGCCCGCCACCACGCCTGGCTAATTTTTTTGATTTTTAGTAGAGACGGGATTTCACCGTGTTAGCCAGGATGGTCTCAATCTCCTGATCTCATGATCTGCCCGCCTCGGCCTCCCAAAGTGCTGGGATTACAAGCATGAACCACCGTGCCCAGCACTTTTTAATTTTTTAAAAATGTTTACATTTTAGTTAATTAGTTAATTAATTTTTTGGAGATGGAGTCTCACTCTGTCACCCAGGCTGTCCTGCCTCAGCCTCCTAAGTAGCTGGGACTACAGGTGCATGCCACGATGCCCAGCTAATTTTTGTATTTTTAGTAGAGACGAGGTTTCACCATGTTGGCCAGGATGGCCTCTATCTCCTGACCTCGTGATCTGCCTGCCTTGGCCTCCCAAAATGCTGGATTATAGGTGTGAGACACCGTGCCCGGCCATGCCTGGCTAATTTTTTTTTTTTTTTTTGTATTTTTAGTAGAGATGGGGTTTTACCATGTTGGCCAGGCTGGTCTCGAACTCCTGACCTCAGGTGATCCGCATGCCTTGGCCTCCCAAAGTGCTGGGATTACAGGCATGAGCCACCATACCCGGCCCTATGCCCTTTTATAAAGTTTAAGAATATAGTGTGGAAATCTACAGTCTGGGCCAATACGTTGGCATGTGCTCGTTAATATTTTTGATAACTGCATGATATTCCATAGTGTAGTTGTACAATAATTTGTTTTAAATTTACATTTAATTTAATTTATTTTTTTTGTTAGAGACAGGGTCGTGTTCTGTTTCCTGGGCTGGGGTGCCGTGGTGTGACCATAACTCACTGCAGACTTGAACTCCTGGGTTCAAGTGATCGTCCCACCTCAGTCTCTTGAGTGAATGGAACTACAGGTACATGCCACCACACTTGGCTAAAACTTAACAATTTATGTAGAAATGGGGGTCTCACTATGTTACCCAGGCTGGTCTTGAACTCCTAGACTCAAGTGATCCTCCTGCCTTGGCCTCCCAAAGCACTGGGATTACAGGTGTGAGCCACTGTACATGGCCTCTCTTTTTCTGACTGTCTTTTTCTTTTTTCTTTTTTTTTTTTTTGAGACGGAGTCTCGCTCTGTCGCCCAGGCTGGAATACAGTGGCGGGATCTCGGCTCACTGCAAGCTCCGCCTCCCGGGTTTACGCCATTCTCCTGCCTCAGCCTCCCGAGTAGATGGGACTACAGGTGCCCGCCACCTTGCCCGGCTAGTTTTTTTTGTATTTTTTTAGTAGAGACGGAGTTTCACCGTGTTAGCCAGGATGGTCTCGATCTCCTGACCTCGTGATCCGCCCGTCTCGGCCTCCCAAAGTGCTGGGATTACAGGCTTGAGCCACCGCGCCCGGCCTGACTGTCTTTTTCTAATCAATTTGTAGGCAATCTTTGTGTGTTAGGGCTATCAATTCTTATGTTATGGGCTACCAATTCTTATGTTTCTTTCAGTCTTTTGTCTTTTAGTTTTGTTTAAGGTGTCTTTTACCATATTTTACATTTTATATAATCAAATGTGTGTTTTTAATGTCTTCTAGTACAGAGTCTGGCCTGTGTGGGTCTCCAGTTCCTACAGTTATATAAACATTCTACATTTCTTCATTGAAAAAAAAAATAGTACATTGTGAATCCATTTGGGTTTTATTTTAAAATCTTTTGGGAGGTATGGAGAAGTATTTAAATCTCTCTGAGGCTTCAGTTTCCTCTGTTGTAACATGGGCATCATTAGGACGAAAGAAAACGTGTGTAAAACTTACAACATGATGCCTGCAACAGGGCTGATACTCAGTACGTGGTTGTAAGAGTTAGTTTGTGAGTGATGGCATGCACTTGTTGTCCCAGCTACTTGGGAGGCTGAGTGGGGAGGACCACTTAAGGCCAGGAGTTCAAGTCGAGCCTAAGCAAAGTAGCCAGATTTCCATCTCTTAAAAAAATAAAAAATAGGCCGGGCGTGGTGGCTCACGCCTGTGATCTCAGCACTTTGGGAGGCCAAGGCGGGCAGATCACCTGAGGTCAGGAGTTTGAGACCAGCCTGGCTAACATGGTGAAACCCTGTTTCTACTAAAAATACAAAAAAATTAGCCGGGTGTGGTGGCATACGCCTGTAGTCCCAGCTACTTGGGAGGCTGAGGCAGCAGAATCGCTTGAACCTGAGAGGCAGAGGTTGCAATGAGCTGAGATTGCACCATTGCACGCCAGCTTGGGCAACAAGAGTGAAACTCCGCCTCAAAAAAATATAAAAATAAAAATAAAAATAAATAAAAGAGAGTTAGAACTAGAATCCTGACTGTGGCCTAGAGTTTTTTTCCTCCATCTCAGTAACTTGGCTCATATTGGTGACTTTGCTTTTTTCTCTTGGACAGATGTGCTGCTTTGAACTGGGTGAGTGCTCCCTCCTGGTGCTGGAGCTGGGGTTGGGCACTGAGCCAGGATGGGAAGAAGCAAGGAGGAGTGGTTTACAGAAAGTATTTCTGTGTAAGGGATTCCACACTTGGAAGTTCCCTCTGGACACCAGTGGGACCTGAACTCACACTGCGTCAGGGCCTCCTGAGCTCCTGAGGGACATCAGGTCACCAACTCCCTGTTTAGGATGGACTCTCCCTGTGGGAACAGGGAAAGAACTGGAGCTGAAGTAGATGTGAGAGGTGAGGGTGGCAGACTGTTGGGGCTCTGGAGAATCTTCCAGACATTTCTGCTGCCTCTCCCAGCAGACTATGCCAATGAACGAATCAGAAAGCTTAAAGAGGGAAGCAGAAGATGAAAGAAATCCTGGGACCATGAAGCTTCAGAGGGCTGGGTGCCACAGTCCCCAGGCTCGGGAATGAACGCCTTAGCTGGAGCGTCGGGGCTTGGTGTCCCTGGACTACCCACACCAGGCAGGTTGCTATGCATGCTCACGTCATCATCCATATTCAATTTCATCAATTACACTCAGTAATGTCCTTGACAACTATTTTTTTCTTCAATTCAGGATTTAATCCAGGATCACACATTGCATTTAATTGTTATTGTCTCTTCAGTTCTTTTAAATTGGGCAATTCCTTAGCCTTCTTTGTGTTTTATGACCTTGACTTTTTGTATGTGTGTGGCAAAAAAGTTCAAATTATACCTTGACATTTTAAAATAGTACAGGTCAATTATTAAGTAACGTTTCTTGTGATTAAATTCAGGTTATGGGTTTTGGGCAGGACACTGGGGAGATGCTGTGACCTCCTCAGAACACCATATCAAAGATACACATGATGTTGGCCTATTCCAACACTGGGGATGTTAACTTTTTTTTTTTTCTTTTTAGATGGAGTTTCACTCTTATTGCCCAGGCTGGAGTGCAATGGCGCAATCTTGGCT